ACATTTACGAATTAAGATACAAACCCGGAAAAGCCAATGTAGTTGCAGATACATTATCCAGGCCATTTGAAGTAAATTCCTTATCAGTTGCCACACATTCCGACGAAAGCTCATCTCACAACCTAATCCCAGCAGTAGAAGGACCCATAAATGCCTTCAAAAACCAACTTTGGATCTTTTTAGGAGACGAAGACAGCTATCAATTTAAAATACCATTCCCAACCTACCATAGGCATTTAATCTGTAAACCCAACTTTTCAATAGAGAATTTAACTGTACTATTAAAACGTTACTTAAATCCTTCAGTGATAAATGGCATATTTACCTCTGAAGATATAATAGGAAAAATTCAGGAGATCTACCCTCTTCATTTCTCCAATTATAAAATTCGATACACACAAACAAAAGTAGAAGACTTAACAAACGAAGATGCCCAAAACGAAGAAATACTAAAAGAGCACAAACGAGCACATAGAAATAGGGATGAAAATAAAAAGCAACTTATTCAAAAATATTACTTTCCTAAAATGAAGTCAAAAATAGAAAATATAGTTAAACAATGCAAAACTTGCAAAGAATACAAATATGATCGTCACCCTAATAAACCACACCTACTTGAAACCCCAATTCCCCAATATCCTGGTGAAATAGTCCATATAGATATTTACAATACAGAGAAAAATCTAGTACTAACCGCAGTAGACAAGTTTTCGAAATATGCACAAGTCAGAATAATAAAGTCAAAAGCAATAGAAGATATCAGAGAACCTCTGCGACAAATACTTTCGGTGTACTAAGGACAATAGTAATCGATAATGAAAAATCCTTAAATTCAGCCTCCATACAATTTATGGTTGAAGACCAACTCGGAATTAGAATTTATAGAACCTCTCCATACACAAGCACAGTTAACGGACAAGTAGAAAGGTTTCATTCCACCCTATCCGAAATCATGCGTTGTCTTAAAACAGAGCAAACCCACCGTTCATTCCAAGAACTTTTAGATCGATGTACATATGAATATAACTACTCCATACACTCCGCGACAGGAAGACGACCAATAGAGACATTTTTCGGCAGACGTGTATCAATAGACCCAGAACAACACGAAAACTCTCGACGCGAAAACATAGAAACCCTTAGGAAGAGACAGGCAAAAGATTTAGAAAATCATAACAAAACTAGAAAAGCTATGAAACTATACACTCCTGGCGACGTAATTTATGTTAGGATAAACAAGCGCATAGGATCCAAACTAACAGCTAGATATAGAAAGGAAATAGTCAAGGAAGACAAATCAAGTATAGTTATCACCGAAAAAGGACGAACTGTACATAAGAATAACATCAAGACTTAGACCACGTTAGTAAAAAAATTTTGTTTTCTCTTTATTTTTTTTTCTTTTACAGACTTTTCGTGCACCTAGTGTACGCAGACTTCAAAATAATAGACTATACAAATTCTCAGTTAGCAACATTAGACACAGGATTGACGAAAATACAAACAGGAACCTACAGAATTATACATAAAGTAGACCTAGACGCATGGCAGAATTCATTAAACGAAATAAGCAGTACCATAAAAACCAAGATATATACGGAAAATTCTCTTTTACCCATCCTTATTAACGAATTGAATTTAACCCAAAAATTTCTAGGCAGACTCAAACCCAAGAGATTTAAGAAATCAATAGATTCACTAGGAAAAGCCTGGAAGTGGATTGCAGGAAATCCCGATCATGATGACCTTGTAATTCTGGAAAGCGAAATAAATAATATAATAAACAATAACAACAATCCAGTAGTAATAAATAAAACAATCTTTGATAGGATAAAGAATATAACAGCGGTATCAAATAAAATTTTGAAAGCTGTACAAAATAAGGAAGACATACAGCACAATTTTGCTATAGAATTAAAATACAAACTGAAAATTTTAAAAGAAGAAATCATTAACATAGATTATGACATGCATTGGGCTAAGGCCGGCATTGTCAATTCATATATTCTATCTAATGATGAATTAGAATTAGTAAAATCTGTATTTTTAAGAAATAATTTTACATTAAATAATGTGGAAGAATCACTAGAACTAGCGAATATAAAAATTGCTTCAAATGATACAATGTTATTTTATATAGTAGGAATACCTTTAACAAATGAAGAAATTTGTGAAACAATGTTAATTAAACCAATAAAAAAGAACAAATATATTAATAAAATTCCCTACGAGGATATTGTAACTTGTAATGACAACCAAATATTTGTAATCAAATTAAAATGTAAAGAAAATAATAGCATTAGAATCTGTAATAATAAGAATATTATAGATATTAGCAATACTACCTGTGACCCACAGCTGCTTAGAAGCGAACCAGCGAAATGCACTATAGTTAACAATCAGCACATCCCATCAGTAGAATATATCTCGCCCGGAATCATATTATTAAATCAGTACAATGGTACAATCGAAATAGACAATCAAAAGATCAATCTTTCGGGATCATATGCCGTTCAATACCACAATTCCACGGTTTTGATCGACAAGCAAAAATACTCTTTTAATGAAATATTAACAAATAAACCTCTACCCGCAATTTTGCAATCAAATGTTCCTTCAAATAAAGAAGAAGAAATCCTGAGCTTGGAGATGATGAAAGCACTCCACTTAAATAACACGAAACATCTAAAGTTATTGCAGACCACCCACTCAGCAGCCTTAATCACAAATTTTTCACTAACAATTGTCGGTATGATCTGCTTAGCAGCATTAATCATGGCATTAGTCATAAAAAATAATCGCAAAGCAAAGCCAATAGAACTATCGAGTTACAACGTCAACGTCAGCGTGACTGACAGTAAAGAAGTCACATCATCCGAAATACCCACTGTACCGGATCCAATAACACTATCATATTAATTTGAACAAACGGGGACGTTTGTTTTAGCGGCGGAGGAGTTAACACCAGTAAAATTAATAAGCAAATTAATGTAAACATATTGACAATCGATAATTCTGCCAATATGCAGAATTATAACTAATAAATAGGAAACGGTTCAGACGCACCGTAAGCAAATACAATTAAATTGGGAACAACATCCGGCATGCGCGAAATCAAGTCAACAAGTAATTAATGCTGACACAGGTAGAATTAGGTTATATTAAGAAGTAAAATTAGCATTTAAGTTGGGTTGTAATTATTGATTAAACCAATAGAGGTCTTTCGACCAAAAATAATATTTTTTAGGCGACCAATAAATTCCGCCGTAAAGTTGCATATACAAATGTAAATGCTAACAGCAATGTTAGTTGCTCCTTGTGGCAACATAAACGACTCTACATTGCCTAAATTATTTCTCCGTGAACTGTACATACATATTTGTTTTTTTTTTTTTTTAAAATAAGAATCAACATTAACGTTAACATTAGCACGTATGTATATGTATACATAACCCTTGCTTTGCGCTGTATTCCGTACGAATTAACAGCAGAGGGCGCTCTCATTTGTGATTTGCAGGTGAGCAGCGCTATTATGTGGGCATGTATGTTAGATTCTATAGGAAGTATTTAAACCTAAGAACCCATAATCGAAATTTCAAAAAAATCGGTACATCCGATCTCGAGCTTTGCGAACATAAAAAAACGGCTTTCAAAATATATATTAGTACAGATATATGTAGGTATATTAGCGTGCCCATTGGAAATTCTTTTTTTTTTTTGGAAATTCAAGATCCTACCCCCTAATTTTATTCGTTTTAATGAGAAATATTATTGCCTATTTTTATAGATTTTTTAAAGGTCATTTAGAGTTCGCGACCTGTCGATTTAGGTCAGAAAATAGGATTTTGTAGATTTTTTAGTTTTTTAATTACTATTTTTGATTCGATTTCAAAGATCGAATGTGATCTGAAGAGAGGACACATAGGCCCTTAAAATGGTATAGAATGATCTATTGTCGGACTTGGGTGGTTGGGTTTTTTTATCGGGTAAAATAAAAAACCCATATTTCCCTTGAGTTTTTACATTTCGACCATCGATGATTTACACAATTTCAAGTTATGTAGTACTATCTAAAAGTAAACCAATTTTAAAATAAACTGATAGCTCACTTATTGCAGTCGCATAAAAATTGTCGAAGTTAGGCGACTTTTTTTAAATACGGCCTTGAATTTATATTGCTTATTTACCGGACTTTCAGATTTTTTGAGCAGTGTGGCTAATGAATTCATCAATATTTATTCAAAACTGATATATACAATCGCTCTTTAGCAAAGACGTGGTTTTTCAGGAAATTTTAGGAAAATGGGAGTGGCACCGCCCGCTTATATGATACTACTCGACCGATTTCGACCATTGTGCTTGGCCTCCTTAAGTACCGTCTTGAATATTTTTGAAATCGGACAAAACCTACTCCCCCCCTAAATATAGCAAGCTTTGAGTGTTTTTGAAGTTACCGTTACGTTGGTGAAGCCCGTGGTTTTGTGCGATTTCAAAAATTTTCAATGTGGCGCTTAAGAGGGATAAGTGTGTGTACCAAATTTGGTTGAGATCGGTCAAGTGGTTTTTGAGATACGCATATATCATATAACCGCGACCTCTAAATGACCTTTCAAAAATCTGTAAAAATAAGCCATGATATTTCTCATAAAAAAAATTAAGTTTTGGGGTAGACCCTGAAATTTCCAAAAAAAAAGCTTTTTCGATGGGCACCCTAATGTATATACATAAATGTATGTAGTTATTAAATTTGTGCCCCGTTTACATGACTCATTCCTAATTCGATTTGACAATTCATTGTTTTTCCTTGATTTCCTCCCTTTGTTTTGATTTTTTCTTTCTCTCTTGCTCTGATAGCTCAGCTCGATAAATTTTCGATTAAAATTAGAGACGCCAGCGATTTGTTCGTAATTCGCATGGTAATTGGATTTGAATTACCTACAAATGAGGTAATGCGCTCGCGAAATTTTGTATGGCGAATCACGTAATTAGAAGGTTAATTGGGGCGGCAATTACGAATGAGAGAGCCATTTACGAATGGGAGAGCGAATTACGTGCCGTGGGAACTTAGTATAATATATACATATATCTACACTACCGTCCGAATATTTGCAATTGTTAAACTCGTACTCAGACATACACAGGGAAGCGAATGTGAAATCAGGGTAAGAATTTGAAAGTAGAATAATTTCATATACAAAAGAAAATAATAATAATAAAATAATAACGTACTGGGATACCACGCACACCGGCCGAGCCACCATACTTCCTGCGGTGGTAAATACTACCTAAGCTCTCCCATATAAAAAAATCGTCGAACACATCGACGCCTAAAAACCAACCCATGCTAAGTCTGACTAAGTCTTAGGTGACTTAGCATGGTATGGTTTGGAAGCGTCGACATGTACTTCATATGGAAGAAAATAACTGGCATCGTCAACAAAAAAAAATTGGCAAAAACCAACGGCAAGTGTCAGCTACTTCGAACTTGCACTTTTTTATACTAAAATTTGACTAAGGCTACACAACTGCATACTCAAAATATTTGAAAGTTTTACAAAAGTTTGTTAGCTTTTTTTTAATATTACACAAACATTGATGTTTTAGTTGATACGGGTTTAAGAATAAACTATACTTTTATAAAAAAAAAATTAATTTAAATATAATAAAATAAACAGTTTTAATAAGCATTAATTATATAGGTCGGTAAGTAACTTCATAATATAACTAATTTTGAATTGAGGTATTTCTAAGCCAACCCTGAGATCTGTGAAATAATATATATGTATGTGCATATATTGTGTTGATTATGCTCCAATATGGTAAATAATCATTACAGCAATCAGCAGCATTGGAAATTTTCGGAAAGTAGAAATAAACTAAATTCAATTTATTCAATTATTAATAAATGAAATTGGCCTTGCTTCCAATGAAGCGTATTCAATTTACTCCATCGCATAGCCGAAAAGCCATTTTGAGACAGCAAATGAATATATAAACTAATTCAAAAATAAGCAATTGCCTTTTCTTAAAATTGCATAACTTTTAAATACTTAAATTCGTTTGAACAAATCGAGTAAAATTTCTGAAATTTTAAGAATAAGCAATTGGTTATTTTTATACCCGAGCGCACTTGTGCACAAGGGTATATTAATTTTGTTCACATAACGGTTGTTTGTAACAGCCAAAACGAATCGAGATAGATATAGACAAATGTATACATAAATGATCAG